CCACTCAAATCCGAATTTTCTATCTCTCGAAAGATCTTTGTATGCATCAGCTTTCTTAGTTGCAAAGAAACAGAAATCAATGCTGCTTAATTAAGCAGAAATAGAATTTAATAAGAGAGTGTTGGGTAATTCATAAAATTGCTAGAAGGGCTGGAGAACCAGGGTCATGAGCACGCTATGAAGGCACACATACGAGTTGTGTCTTTCCACAATGTCAGCTTTATTCAATCATAAGGCAAAGTTAAATCACAATTATAAAGCAGGTTCTGGATTCCAAACTCAGTGACAATTCACCATGTGAATAAACTTGGCTTCTTTACACAGCACACAAGGCAGGAAGGAAGACAAGCCACACAACAAACAAGGTAACTGAAGGGTGCAGGAAGTTAATGAACCAAGTGCGAAGTCAGTTCATGGGCCCCCAGTTGAGATAAGGCCTCGGTCTGGTCCTGGTCAGCTCTTGGCACTTACTGTTTATGTTCAAGCAGTGAACATAATTTAATAAATTCCAACTTATTTTTCATGGATTATGCTTTTGGTTGTTGTCTAAAATATAACCACTAAATTCAAGGTCATGTAGAATTTCTCCATGTTTTCTTTTAGAAGTTTTATAGTTTTGGATTTTACATTTAGGTCTATGATCCATTTTGAGTTAATTTTGTGAAAGATACAAGGTGATTTTCTTGCATATAAACATCTAATTGTGCCAACATCATTTGCTGAAAAAAAGCTATCCTTTCTCCATTGAATTGCCTTTGCACCTCTGTCATAAATTAGCTGACTATATTTGTTTTGAGTCTATTTCTGGGCTCTATTCTATTCCACTGACCTATGTGTCTATTTCCACTGACCTATGCCATCTTGACTACAGTAGTTTTATAGCAAAACTTAAAATTATAGTGTGAATCTCCTAACTTTGTCCTTTTTTCAATATTGTGTTGGTTATTCTACGTCTTTCCCTTCCCATATAAATGTTAGAATTAGTTTGTCAATATCTACAAAACAGCTTGCTGTGATTTCTGAGAGTTATGTTGAGTCAACGGATCAAGTTGGGAAGAACTGACATCTTAACAATTCTGAGTCTTCCAATACATGAACATAGAATATCTCTCCATATGTTTAGATTTCTTTGAATTATTTCATCAGTGTTTTGTAATTTTCTGCATACAAATCCTATACCTATTTTGTCAAGTTTATACCTAAGTATTTTCTCTTTGACTTTCAGATACTGACCTTGTAACCTGCAACACTGCTATAATTGCTTGCTCCAGGGGATTTTTGTTTTTTGGTCTTTGGGATTTTCTACAGAGAAAGTTTATATGTGAATAGAGACAGCTTTATTTCTTCCTTTCCTTTCATTTATTTTTGTCTTACTGTCCTAGTTAGGACTTCCAGCATGATGTGAAGTAGTAGTGAGAGAGGACAGCTTTATCCATTTTCTAATCTTGAGGAAAATATTCAGCTTCTCATTTATAAGTATGGAGTTAGCTGTGGTTTGCTGGGTAGGCAGGTGGGTTGTTTTCTGTAGATGTTCTTTATCAAGTAGAGAAAGTTTCCATCTACTACTAGTTTATTGAGAGTTTTTATCACAAACAGCTCTTGGATTTTGTCAAATGCTTTCTCTGAATCAAATGATTACGATTTTGCTTTTTTAGCCTGTTGATTATATTGGTGGATTATGTTAACTGATTTCCAAATGTTGAACCACTCTTGCATGTCTGGAATAAATTCCACTTGGTTGTTGTATATAATTCTTTTTATATACCATTGGATTTGTTAATATTTTGTTAAAGATTTTTGCATCTATGTTCATGAGACAGCTTGGTCTGTAGTGTTTTTCTTGTAATGTCTTTAAATGGTTTTGGTATTAGATATAGTAGAAAGTTAGGAAGTGTTCCCTCTGCTTCTAGTTTCAATAGATTGTGAGGAATTGGTCTTTAACTGCTTGACAGAATTCACTAATGAAACTATTTAGTGGGCTTGGTGCTTCTTCCAGAAAGTTATTAATTAGGAAGAGCAAGGAGGTTCATTGGGGATGATAGAACAGAATGAGCTAGGGAGAGAGTAATAGATTACATGGGGTATAGGTCATATGGGGTCTCATAGGCCATTTTAAGGACTTTAGGTTTGTCTTGCCTGAAATGGGGAGCTACTCAAAGGTTTTAAGATGAGGGCTAGTTTAGGGATTGAAGAATAATTTTCCCTCTATCATTCTGAGTTGTCAGTTGAAATCCCTGTAATAAAAGACAGTAACAAGAGAAAAACAAACAAGTTTATTAACATGTATACCTCATGAGTACATAGGAAATACCTAGAGAAAAATGAGCAACGAAAAGAGTAACTTAGGATTTCATTTAACAGGGAAAGGGGACAGGAGATGTAGGCCTTTTAGGGGAGAATAAATGATTTTTAGTAAAGACGAATGGGCCCTTAAGAGAACAGATGGGAGGTATGACTGATGTGGGAAACAAAGTCTAAAGAAAGAATTAAATTTCCTTACTGCCTACAGCCCAGTGACAAGTCCTGGAAACAGGTAAAGTGACCTTCCTCTGGGATTTCAGCCACCTTGATGTTGACACTTAGCTAAAGTGGTAATCTTAGCTTAACATTATCCCAATGCCCCAGGATCCTGTTAAGTCTACTTTAACATATAAAAATTATTTTGGAAACTTTATCTCTACCCCCAAGATCTATGTCAGCAATCATACTCCAAGGATATGACCCACTGATATACATCTGAAGGGTCTCATGACTGAGTTCTTACTAAACAGTAATAAATGACCTTTTCCTAACAATAGCTAGCCCCCCTCAGGATCCTGGAAACCTTGCTTCCAAAATACCTTGGAGGCCTGTGCTGTCCCTACCCCCTCCCAACATGATAGCAAATAATCAGTCACCCATCACTACCCCAGTGCAGCTCTTTCTGCCCACGGGTCCTGTCCCCATGTTTTAATAAAACCACATTTTTCCACTGAAGACATCTCAAGATTTCTTTTTTGACTGTGGGCTCCAAACCCCATTTCTACATCATGATCATTTGTGACAAGTTTGTCAGGGTGTGGTGTCAACTTCTTTCCTATGATATGAGCCAATCTTCCCTAGTTGATGAAACTTCTGGGGAGGGTATTTACAACAATTGAGTTTATTCTGGAGGATCTGTCTTTAGGCAGATAAGGGAAAGTCAGAGAAAGCCTCTTTCCACATTTGCTTTTTTTCAAGTGCCTACAGCTCAAAATAATCAATATATCAAAGGTGCATGTTTTGAGGAGGTGTGTTCTGCTACCCTTCAGCAGCATGATAGAACTCATGCTGCAACAGCATCCTTCTGGCTGCTCTATTAAGAACAGACTGTGGGGAACACAGAAAGAAGCAGAGGGAACATGTAAGAGGTTTACTGCCCTAACCAGAAGAGAGTGTATCCGTCCATCTTCAGGAAAATGAATGCCATATTCACAACCGGAGAATAAACACAGATTATAGGGGTTACTTCTGTTGAAAAGAAAACCACAGGCCCAAGGTGGAGTTGCCTGCCTCCAGAATAGCAAACCAAGACAAAATTACAGTTGCAATCTCTTCAGGAGTGAAATTTTAAGCAAATCAATCAAGAATTTTCTGGCCAGCACCAATAAGGTCACATGGGCCCTCTTCATTCCGTTCTCCCCGCCCCCCAAGAAGATGAGATAATCTGCAATATAAGACCCCCCCTCGCCTCCCCACCCCCCGCCCCCCGGCCAAGGGAACACCAACTTGCCTTGAGACAATGCTTTTCCTTTAGCTAAGAACTTCCTTGCTCCAAGCTCTTTCCTATAAAAATCTTCGATTTTTGTACCACTCCACGCTCCTCTCTACTTACTACGGCCTAATTAAAAGGATTAGATCTTCATGCTTACTCAGTTGAATTTTGGTTAACACCGCACACGAGAGGAGGTACTGAGAGCAGCAGTGAACGCAAGTTACCGTCAACATTCTAGTCCTCACGCACTGGCCCGCCGGTTTCGGGCCACGCACAGCCCGTCGCGAGTCCGGGGTATAACCGGCCACGTTTGTAAACCTGCGCTCCCGGAAGCCCAGGAGGGCTTTGCAAGGGTGAGGTCTGAGCGCGGTGCGTGGGCTTCCGTCCCACGCCCCAGACTGAAGTCCAGGCGAGGCCGCGTTTCCCGCTAGACAGGGGTGCAAGGACCCCACCCCAGAGCCCCGAACACTTCGGGAACCGCGGAAGCCGCCTGGGAAACGGGAGGCAGAGCGCGGGAGAGACGCCAAGACTTCCGGGAGTCGCAGTCCAGAGCCAGGCCGCCTTCTGCGCAGGCTCAGAGCCCACGAGGACGGAAGCTTTGAGAGAGGCTGCAGCGCCGTGCCCCCACCGGAAGTGTCCGATCGGAACCACCCTGTAGGAGAGGTGAGTCCGGGTTTGGGACCCATGCGTCCGGCCTTTTGTCCCCTCCAAGCACCTAGTCCCTACGACTTTACTTCGGGACTACAGCAGCCCCGCGGCGCCCTGCAGCCGGGACCGCGGAGGAATCCCGAGGAAAAGTGGGACTGAGACTCGCGTGCGGAGGACGCGGCGTCCGCCTGCTTCCAGAGGGGCGGCGGTTTCCATGGTCCCCGCGCCGCGCGTTACGTCACCGCCGCGGGCGGGGCGCCGGGCGGGGGCGTCGTGCCGCGGGCCGGGGTCGGTGACGGGAATGGCGAGCCCTGCGGCGACCTCGGCTGGGCGGCCTCTTGCCTGCGGGAGCTGCACGGGAGCCCGCCCCGACGCCCGCCTTTCGCGGCAGGAGCCCCCGCCTTCTCGTAGGGAAAGCGGGGCGGCCGGACACAGTGGATGTGCGGTGTTGCCCGTGTGCCGGGGACGCGGTGGAAGCGGCGGAGACGGTCCCAGGGCCGGCGGTGGGCGGGACTGCGGCGCGCTTCGGTGCGGGAAGCCTTCCCGGCCGCTCCCCCGCGCGCCCCGGCGCCCGCCCTCCCGGCTCGATCCCTCCTTCCTGTCCGTGCCCGCGGCGTCGCGAGGCCCTCGGGCTTTCCTCCCGCTCGGCGAGTGTGAAAACTCGGAAAACGGGGGTGCATGGCCCTTCACCTCATGGAGTAACGGTCACCGAGGAAGAAAAACAGCCAAAGCTGAGCATAATTCGAGGTGACGTGCGTTGTAGCCACGGGTGTTATGGAGGCACTGCGTAGAGTTGTCGCTCCAAACGCGGTGCCCGGCGAGCTCGTCTCTCCCGCGGCCGGCCGGCCGCCCCCCTTGCGCGGCCCGCCTTTATGCCGTTGGGATCTTTCCCCTCTGTGTACCGCGTGTCGGCGCCTCCGCCTCCAGCATTTGCTACCCCGCGCGGACTCTCTCTCCGCCTCCGAACCGTTAGGGCACTTGATACCGCTGCCCTACAACTCGGTTAGTCCTTCAGTCCTCGGCAGTTACCAGCACTTCAGTGTGTTATATGTGAAACAGCTTCAGTTATTTAAATGTTTTTAATCCACGTGGGTTTTATGTCCTTTTTTCCCGACTGTTTTTACAAACTCAAGCACCATTTAATTCCTTACGGTTGTACATCAGAATACGGATTTTCCAGGTATACCCATACTGACCCAGACAGTATCCCAAGAATCACTTTCTAACAAAGTTCCCACATGATTAATTAATCAGCTGGGAACTCAGACTTTCTTGGAAACCGTTACTGTACGACTTCTAGCCCGAGCTTGGCTTGTGTTCAGATTCTTAATAAAGTAACATGTCAGTGCAACAATCAGCAGTCAACTGGTGAAATGTGTAGTAGAAGGCCCCGCAAGCTCGATATTTGCATTCTGCTCTTGCACTCTAGGCTTCACATCTAAATTCCTGTCATTCAGTTTTTCAGTGCAGAAACCAGGCATTCCTGTGTGCTAAGACTCAAGGAACTGGTATTTAATAACAAGACTCACAGTTGACATAAGCAAGTCATAGTGCTGGTTTATTATGTTTAACTTTATTGGTGAGATGATAGGACTTAATGTCCAAGATACGGACTGAGCCACGAAACTAGGGAGGTAGAGAAGGAACTGTTGGGGTAACAGGAAACCTATTTGAGACCTTTGCAGAAGGAACTAGTTAACACTGATTGAAACTGTTAGCCCCTGGCTCTCAAGAAAAGTTACCCTGGGGCACCCAGCTGGCTCAGTTCGTGGAACAGGTGATTCTTGATCTCAGGGTTGTGAGTTCCAGCCCCACCTTGGGTGTAGAGATTACTAAAACCTTTTAAGGGCGCGTGGGTGGCTCAGATGGCTAAGCATCTGCCTTCGGCTCAGGTCGTGATCCCAGGGTCCTGGGATCGAGCCTGCTTCTCTCTCTCTACTGTTACCCCTGCTTGTGCTCTCTCTCTCTCTCTCTGTCAAATAAATAAATAAAATCTTTTTTTAAAAATCTTGTAAGAAAAAAAAAGTGACCCTTATTACTTAAGAGATTTATAAGTAATCCTAGGTCCAGATTTTGAATTAATAATTACCATTCCAAGCTTGCATTTTCCTCACACTTGTATAAGTATGGCCTCTCTATGTTTCTCTTTTCATATTGCAGTCCATCCTAGAAATGAACAACATGTTAATCTCCACAAACAGTATTTGTCAGGTCATTCTGCTCAGAAGCTTTCCTTGGCTCCCCAGTGCCTAAAAGATAAACTCTGAATTCAGGATCTTGGCATTTGAGGCTTTCTATGGTAAGGCCTTTGCCTCTGTGATTTCCTTATACAAACCTACTGAACTTTTTCCTTTCCCACTTGTGTGATCCTACCATTAACCAGTTCGGGCTGTTTCCTTGCTTGTAATTTCCTATTTTTCTCTCTCCCACATCCTATCAAATCCTTTCCATTCTTCAGAAGTTAATTTTTTCATTAAGTTTTCCCTGATCATTGCAACCTGCTAGACTTTGCATCTCCAGTTTTGTGAAGCACTTTATTGTTTTTCTATGCTGCGCCTTGTTGTCTTTATGACTTACATATAATTTAATTGCATGTGGCATGTTAACATGCAGCATTGCCTTAAATTTATAAATCTTATATTTATTGTTTCTACTTTAAGATATTTTGTTTTTATGGGTGCCTGGGTGGCTCAGTTGATTAAGAGTCCATCTCTTGACTTCTGCTCAGGTCATGATCTCAGGGTCATGGGACTGAGCCCAGCCTTGGGCTCTGGGATGGGCTAGGAGTCTGCTGGAGATTCTCTCTCTCTCCCTCTCCCTCTGTCCCTCCCCCCGACCCACGCACATGCGCCCTATCTCTCTCTAAAATAAATGACTTTTAAAAGGAGGTATTTTGTTTTTAAATTTTAATTTTAAGCTGCTTTGAGGTAGAAATTATGTGACAGTTCTATTCCACAAAGTATTTCAGTGCTTTTACATATAGTAAACGCCTAGTACACTTCCGTGTAATGGAAAATGACTATTTCTGTGATGTGATCTTTCATCTTCATAGACAGTAATAGTTATTTTTTATCCCTTAGCCCTTGAAACTGCATAAGACCGTTCACAAAGCAGAAGTGGGTTTCCTGGTAATACATTTCATCCAAAAATGACAACAGAATCAAAGAAAGCTACAGCTCAGAAACTTCAGGAGAATGAAGGACTTCTGATAGTGAAGATAGAGGAGGAAGATTCTGTCTGGAGGCAGGACACTTGCCTCCAGAGAAGCGATCCCCTCAGGCAGGAGCTCTGCCGGCAGCTTTTCAGGCAGTTCTGCTACCAGGATTCCCTTGGACCCCGAGAGGCGCTGAGCCGGCTCCGGGAGCTCTGCCATCAGTGGCTACAGCCCGAGACCCACAGCAAGGAGCAGATCCTGGAGCTGCTGGTGCTGGAGCAGTTCCTGACCATCCTGCCCGAGGAGCTGCAGGCCTGGGTACAGGAACATGACCCAGAGAGTGGAGAGGAGGTGGTTACCATACTGGAAGATTTGGAGAGAGGCACTGATGAAGCAGTAGTCCAGGTACTCAAGGGATGGGAGATCTAAGACCTCCACATGGATGGAGTCCCACAGTGGGAGGAAAGGGCCTGAGATTGAACGCCTGGGGAGACCTGCAGGGGCTGTTAGATCAGTGTGCCTTTCTGTCTCCTTTCCACCACATTTGGTGCTGTGCCACATTTTACATTTAAGTCAGACTTAATCCTTCTGCAGTTTTGTATTCCTACAGGAGGTTCTCTTTGTTTTTGGAAGATGTTCAAATACCCAGCAGGGATTCTCTCACAAGCCCAAATGTACTTTATTTTTCTCAGGTTCCAGTCCATGCACATGGACAAGAGATATTCAGGAGAAAGGTGGTACCTCCTGGACCAGCACTTAGTGTCCAGTTGCAGCCAGTGGACCCCAAGACCCTTCATGGTTCTTCAGCACCCCTTCTGGACGGTGGTAAGAGGCAGTATTGCATGCAATTCATGTCACTGAAGGAATGGGACTGTGAATGTCCCTTCTCAGAGTAGCCTCAGTTACCATAGGTGGTCTTTTCCTTTATCACCCCATGAAAAGTACAGAACTTTTTCCCTATGTGTCATTGACCAATTAAAACAAAAACAGAGAGAGAATTTGGTTCCTTTACCAGAATATTTACATTTTCCCATTTGTTCTTCATCCAGAATATTTCCAAAACGCAGGATATTTTTATGAGTAAGTTAAAGGAAAGAAAAACAAATGCATGAGAAAACGTCAGGGAATAAGTAAAGAAACAAAAGAAAAAGAGGAAGAAACGCATCAGGAGAAACAACACATTTTAGTAGAGAAGCAGATACATAATGATATACTGGGAAGTGTAATATAATTCACAGATACATAGAACAAGATCCACATTATTGTCTTTTTTATTGTATTTTTGGTCTTAGAAAGCTTCCATGTTTTTATAGGAAGTCAGCATACTTCAGGTGACTACCTCCATGGAATACTCATCACTGTTCTAAAACTCCTCTGTTTAAAAAGTTCATGGACTCAATATTACTTTAGGTGTGAATGATCTCAAAAATAAACTCAAGAATAATTACAGCCAGTTTTGGGGGCACCTGGGTGGCTCAGTCGGTTAAGCGTCTACCTTCAGCTCAGGTCATGATCTCAGGGTCCTGGGGTCAAGCCCCAGGTCAGGCTCCCTTGCTCAGCGGGGAGTCTGCTTCTCCCTCTCCCTCTGCTCTCTGTCTCTCTAATAAATAAATAATCTAAAAAAAAAAACAACAAAATAATGATCTTTAAAAAATATATAAGTAAATAAATAGGTAGATAAATAAATAAATTAGTCAGTTTTTTAAAAAATACCCAAATTCTGCTTTCCAGTTTGTTCTGGAGACATTCCATCCACTCCATCCAAAATCATGTATTTCCCCCAGCCTGAGACCAGCATGGCCTAACCACCTTTCCTGCCTTAGCATATTCTAGACAAAGGAAACCCTACAAAAAGAGGGGTTGCTTGATTGAAGCACAATATAGAGTCGTAAGTATTGTATAAATTTGTGAGCCAGAAGGCAGGAATTGTGAGGACTTAATCATAAACGGATTCTGGAAAACAGGCAGAGGAGTTCAGGTGTGTTGTGGAAGAAAAGAGAGGGAAGGTTTCTGAGTCGGGTATAGGAAGGGACAGGATTTTAAAGACAGTTGGTGTGGTGAGGGTATTCAGGATGACTAGGGAGAACAGCTCAGAGTCAAAACAGTGGGAGGCTGAGACAGTCCCCTAGAAAGGAAGAGTGACAAGGATAGTGATAGCAGAAATGTAAAGAAGGGGATGTGTTCAGGGTACATTTAGCAGAAAGTGCTTATAGAACTTGATTAGCCATGGACGATGAAGAAATGGGTGGGTAGATAGATGGTTGAAGGTTTTCCCCTCCCCAGGCATTCTACTTGCTTTTACCAATTTTTCTCTTTTGTGTCCTTGTCCATCACACCTCTCACTTGAAAGGCCACATTTTTAGAGTAGCCAATTGAAGTACCAATATGTAACTGTCTTGTGTATATCTCAAAATTTTTTTTTCTTCCAACTCAGCAAACAGATATTTACCAGTTTGTCTTTTCATTCTTTTAGATAATGAGAGTGAAAACAATGGATCCATGCCAAAGTTGGACATTTATGAAGAAATGGAATCACAGAGGATTCTATCAAGAAGAATTTCAGGATTCATGTCAGAAGGATCTGCTGAACCTCAAGACATCTGTAAGTCTGCAGGCAGATTAAAGAGGCAATGGGAAAAAGAATCAGGAGGGTCTCAGAGACCATCATCTGCTCCGGATGGAGGTTTTAGTAAAATCCTTACCCACAAAAATACACTGACAGGTGACATTAGCCATGATGGTTGTGAGAGAAGCTTAAACCTGAATTCAAGTGAATTGACACACCAGAAATCTTGTAAACACAGTACCTATGACCAAAGTTTCAAATGGAATCCAGAATTTATTAAGCATCAAAGAATTTATGCCGGAGAAAAAATTCACCAATATGGAACATCTCTCAAGAGCCCAAATCTTATTAAACATGCAGCAATTTTTAGTGGGGAGAAAACCCACCAGTGTAATGAGTGTGGGAAAGCTTTCAGACACAGCTCAAAGCTAATCAGGCATCAGAGAATCCACACTGGAGAGAGGCCCTATGAATGTAATGAATGTGGGAAAGGCTTTGGGGGGAGCTCAGATCTTATTAGACACCAGAGAATTCACACTGGGGAAAGACCCTTTGAGTGCAAAGAATGTGGGAGAGCATTCAGCCTGAACTCACATCTTATCCTGCATCAGAGAATTCACACCAGAGAGAAACCCTATGAATGTAGAGAATGTGGGAAAACCTTCAGAGTGAGCTCACACCTCATTCGACACCTGAGAATCCACACTGGAGAGAAACCCTATAAATGCAGTGAGTGCGGGAGAGCCTTCAGTCAGAGTTCACACCTTCGTCAACACCAAAGAATTCACAAGAGGGAAAACCTGTTAATGTAAAGAACTTAAATTTTTATGGAAATGCGAAAGAAATAGCAACATGAAAAATACTGAATAAAAAATATGGAGTGAGATGAATGACTGAAAGACGAATGTCTCTTTTCTCTCGTTCTCTGGCTTATGGCCTTCACTATGGGGGAGAGGGGAGGCTTTCTATGGGACAGGATTTTCCTCTCTACTGCTGACTGCTGAAGTCAGGCCAGGAGAGCAGAATTTGGAGGAGGCTAATAAATAGGCGTGTCTATGGCAGTGGAGTTAGAGGGGAAAGGACTGTCTTGGGAAGTAACCATGATTACAGTGTGGAGGGGAGAAGATTCAGTAAAGCTGATCATCAACACTAGTTAGTGATTCTCCTCAAGAGGAAGTAGGCTAAGCCCTGAAGGGGAATAGTTCGAGCAATACACAACAGAGCTTTCAGAACATTACTTTAAATGAAGGCACAACAAAACTAAATTAGTCATATCAAACGAGAGGACCTGCACACAGTGGCATTCCAATATGTAGACCAAAGTCTGTGTCCAGAGGTCATGCCAGGAGGTAAACCACGGGAGCATCCAAGGCAAGAGGCCAGAATCCAGAGAGACTCAAACAGGACAGGAGAGAAGTAAATTAGGCAGGAGTTGGGGTTAGAGGTAAGGGAAGGTAGTCACATTGAATTCAACCTCGGATTTGGAGGAGACAAACGGTAACATAACTTCAATCTTACTGCCACATATGCCTGGGTTTTGGCACTTCCATGGGGTGAGTAGACAAGAGACTGCAGTTCTGGGGAGCTATCTGGACAGAAACAGGGTTCTCTGGCTACTGACAATTGTGGAAGAGGGCTGAGGGAATTAGCACTAAAGGTAAAGGTCCTGAAACTTTCATTACTGCTGGCTGCTCTTCTTTCCAGAAAAGACAGTGTTGAGAGGGTTGGTATCCAAGAGAAGAATGGAGAGTGGAATCCAACAAGTAGGAACTCCACCAGTGATTTCAGGATATAAAGGCAAATCCTGCTCTACTGTTTTCCTGTTTGATAGGCACGTTTTCCCTAATGTGAAAATAAAAGCAACTATATAAGACTTAAAGTCCCATTGTATATATAATGTCTTTATCTGAAAACTAGCAAACAACCCCCAGTGTAGAATTACCACAATCCAACGTACAAAATCTTCCACCAACAGGCTTTATTAAAAATGCCTTAGCATTTGCTTTTCAATCCTTGAACTAAAAATGTCCTGATAGCATCTAAGTAACCCAATGTGTGGGTGTTGTGGGGGTACTGAACGCAGTTTCCTGTTGCACGTGTACTGTGCTAATGCAGCCTATGTCGTGGCTGTTACAAGCGCTGTTCATGTGTTCCCTTCTGTGGTTGAGAAAACAGAGCTGGGAGTGTCCTGCTCGGAATGCATGAACAGCAAGTGCTGGAAGCAGGATTCAGACACGTGCTGTTCCCGGCCTCGTGCCTAATCCTTAACCTTGATTATGTCCCTGACAGAATCACCACGTGACATGACACCAAAACAGACGGCACTCGTGCACCACTAAAGTGGGGGACACGGTTCACACGTCGTTCGCCTTTCAGAAGGTGAAAGACCACACGCAACTCTTCATGTGGGGGATCGTCTGTGCACAGGGTGCCCATTTTCTGGTCAGGATCAGAAGTTTTACCTGTAGATTTGCTTGTGCTGCAAAACACCAGCAAGTTTGGTATTTTCATTCCCTTCCATTTGTAGTCAAGCTTCGAATCTTTCCGTGTTATAAATTTTGACTGGCCTAGTTTGTGCTTTCCAGCACACATGACTGAATTCACCAGGATTGTTGTTTTCCCTTGGAATTAATCTCTCAGTGAGGTGTCGTTGTTGTTGTTTTTAAGATTTTATTTGTTTGGGGGGGCCTGGAGGGCGCGGGCATGAGAATCTCAAGCGGACTCCACGCTGAGCGCTGGGCCCTCACCGCCCGAGATCATGACCTGAGCCAAAACCAAGAGGGAGACACTGAACTGACTGAGGCACCCAGGTGCCCCTCGTTCAGAGAGTTTCAAGATGACTAGTCAGCTTTAACCTCAGCAGTTTTTGGCATTCTTTTGCATTTCTGTAAGTTAATGATTTGTTTTGCCTTAGGAGTAGCCAAAAAAATTCACCCCCAGAGACAGTCTCCTTGAAGCAGAAACCTGTGAAGTAAGTTTATTGAAGGGTTAGAGCCCGTAATGGAGGCAGCCTTGGCTGTTAAATCTCAAAGGGGCAGGAGGACTACCCTTGGAGCTAAGAACGTGGGCTGTGCAGGAAGAACGCCCAACAACCAGGAGGTAGCCGCTAGTCATAACGTCAGGCAGTTTTGTTACCAGGAGACACCTGGGCCCTGGGAGGATCTGAACCAACTCTAGGAACTTTGGATCAATGGTTGATGCCACACCAAGGAGCAGATCCCAATCATCCTGCCCAGGAGCTCCAGGTCTCAATGTTAGCAGATCGGCCAAAGAACAGCGGAGGCAGTGGTCCTGCGGGGCGGTTTGGAGAGAGCGCTTGATGAAACAGGACAGCAGGTGTGATTAAATGAGCTAACATCTAGTGAGGGAGAGAAGCATCCCTACAACCGCGGGAGCGAGGTTGCAGAGCTTCAGGCTGCCCTCAGCCAGGCTGGAAGTATTAGTGTCAGCCTTTCTCATTCTCTCACGCTTTCTAGTTTCTTACTTCTTGAAGGCGGAATACACTCAGTGTCCATTTTTTCTCTATTCTATGCCCTGAGAATTGTCCCCTAAGGTGTCCTTCTAAGATAATAACTCAGGTTCACTCACTGAGTCTTTCGCAAACCCAACCATGTCTTAATTGTTTCCAGGCTGTTGCCAGGACATGTGGAATGGGAGTACGTTCAGAGCAGACGAGCCGCATAGAAGCCACCAACTACTCCAGCCCATGAAATATCTAGAATTCCAGGCCATTCATGAGCAAGGTGAGAGAGGGTGGTTGAAAGTTCTGCTAGCTATCTAGGTTGAAAAGCATTAGGAACACCAGAAACATAGAAACAGCATGCTGAATCAGACTGAATATCCTCTCAAGTTTCAAATTCCCGTTTAGTTAGCACTAACAAAGGACATGATACAGAATAACGTAATGCTGTCTACCCTACTATCAGCCTCAGGAGGAAGTTGTATTCCAGCATTCCTAACTTCATTTAAAAACCTTTTCAGACTGTTCTCATAAAATAAAATTTATCTTTATTTAAACCTGTTTATATTTTTATCATATGTAATATCATGGCCTAACTTCTGTACATTTAGTACTTGCTCTGTAAAGTAGAACTTAATCTTTTGCCTTAAAATGAACTTTTCCGAATTTCCCTGATCATTTAAAGCCATTTTGTACCTCTTTACTGTGTCCTTGTAATGAAATCTGTGTCGTCTACCTAATCTTTCAGACTCATCTAACCCTGTTTGTTTAGTTTTTCCTTTAGTTCCTGCTGTCTTTAGTTAAAAAGTCACAAATCATTCTAAAATATAGAACTTTCCTCTTCAGTATTATCTCCTCATTGCCCCCATTCCCTCTAACTTCAGTACATTTTCATCTGTTCTGACTACAGTTCAAAACAAATTATTTTGGGGCACCTGGGTGACTTGGTTGAGCCTCCAAATCTTGATTTCAGCTCAGGGTCCTGGGATCAAGCCCTGTGTTGGCCTCTGCGCTCAGCGGGGAGTCTGCTTCTCCCCTCTTCCTCTGACCCTCACCCACCCCACCCCATCCCCCATGCTCACTCTCAAAATAAAAAATATCTTTTAAAAAGATTTATTTTTCTGTTACTTTCTACTGCCATCCCCAATATTTCTTATTTTCACCTTCTTCCACTTTTGATAACCATGTTACTCTCATTGTTCAGTCCAAATCCCTTTTTGATAGTTGCTTTATTCATCTCTTTCCTTGCCCACCTCACCCCCCAACTCTGTACCTATAGAATGGGAGAAAATATCTGCAAACTATCAGATAAGAGGTTAATATCCAAAATATATGAAGAACTCGGGGTGCCTGGGTGGCTCAAGTCAGTTTAGTGTCTGACTGTTGATCTCAGCTCAGGTCTTGATCTCAGGGTTGTGAGTTTAGGCCCCGTGCTGGGTGTGGACCCTACTTAAAAATAAATTTTTTAAAATATTTTATTTATTTATTTGAGAGAAAGAGAGAATGAGCGGTGGGGGGAGGGAGAAGCAGACTCCCCACTAAGCAGGGAGCCTGACGCGGGGCTTGATCCCAGGACCCCAGGATCATGACCTGAGCTGGAGGCAGATACTTAACCAGCTGAGCCACCCAGGTGCCCCAACATTTTTTTAAAAAAGACAAAATATAGGGGTGCCTGGGTGGCTCAGTCAGTTAGGTGTCTGCCTTTGGCTCAGGTCATGATCCTGGGGTCCTGGGATCAAGCCCCGCATTGAGCTCCCTGCTCAGCAGGGAGCCTGCTTCTCCCTCTGCTGCTCCCCCTGCTTGTGCTCTCTCTCTGTCAAATAAATAAATAAAATCTTTTTTAAAAAATTAAAGTAAATTAAAAAATAAAAAGACAAAATATATAAAGAACTCATACAACTTAATAACAACAAAAACAATCCAATTAAAACACAGGCAGGGCACCTGGCTGGCTCAGTTGGTAGAGCATGCAACTCTTGATCTCAGGGTCATGAGTTCCAGCTTCACACTGGGTATGGAGCTTACTTAAAAAAAACAAAGTAAAAATAAAACACAAGCAGAGGAGGTGAATAGACATTTTTCTAGAGAAGACATACAGATAGCCAAGAGATACAAATCATCGGAAATGCAAATCAAAACCACAATGAAATATTACCTCACACCAGTCAGAACGACTGATATCAAAAAGACAAGAAATAAGTGTTGAAGGATGTGGAGAAAAGGGACCCTTATGCATGGTTGGTGGGAAAGTAAATTGGTACAGCCACTATGGAAAACAGTATGGAGGTTTCTCAAAAAATTAAAAAATAGAACTATCATATGGTCCAGCAATCCCACTTCTACATATATATCTGAAGGAAATAAATGAAAACAGGGTATCAAAAAGATAATCTGCACTCCCATGTTTATTGTATTAT